GCATATTTAATATGTAATCAACTTTTCCTTTAGTGGGATTCCAATAAAGTTAATAAACTCCTTCACTGCAGGATTTTTTGGGCTATAATTATAAATAATAAGGGCAACTTATAGAAATGCCATAATTTTGGAGTGATTTTGAAAAATCATTATAAACATGGGCTAAAACATAAAAACTAATATTTCACCCCCCAAAACCATAAGAAATACGGTGTAGACTCCAAATCCAGTAGAAATCCAAAATCTAAACTCCAAATCAAGAAAATTTTAAATTATAAGAAAAAATCTTGTACAGATCAACCCAAACAAGACGAAGTGCTGCTTTAACTACCTTTTATTCAAAATTTTCTTCTCCAAGTCTATAAATAATCAATCTAAATTACTTCTGATTTTTTATTCAGCTAGTTCATATTTTGTTTGATTTTGGTGTTGAGATTTTTTGGTTATAGTACATATTAAATTTCATCTCTAAATTAATAATTTTGAGTTAGTATATAATATAGTTCGTATTGTATGAATTTGATTGAATTAACATATCAGAAAAATTAGTTTTGGATCAATTTAAGTAATGTATGCAAAGTGCTTGGGAAAATGAGAAGAAAAGTGGTACTCTCTTTCACTTTTTTTTTTGAAAAGGTCATAGTCTATCTCATTTAAATTGATTTATATTAATTAAATATGTGAAACATATGTGTTTTGGAAAATTTAAACATGAATTTGAATGGAAATCTTATTTTACATTTAAAATTGACATGACATTTTTTTTGTTCGTATATTTGCATATGAATAAAGATGTTAAAATTTAAAAGTGACATTCTCTATCATTTTTTTTTTTCTAAAAATGTTATAGCTTATCTCATTTGAGTTTTTTAGTATCAATTAAATAGATACATATATTTGTATCTGTGAAAATTTAAATATGAATATAAAATTAAACTTTGCTTTATTTTAAAAAGGGATATGATATAACACTTTTGTTTGTATGTTTTGCATATGAGTTAATTTACTGAAAATTAAAAGTGACATGCTCTGTTACTTTTTTTTTTTAAATATTCTTTTTGTAGATATGAATAAAATTGACGTATTTATATGTTATTGAAGCAAATAAGAACAAGATAACAAATATAAAAGTAATAAAACGATTGAAATTATTGTCCAATATAATGCACATACAACAACAGTTCTTAAAATGTAGATGTCACTTTTTTTGTTAAAAATATGACATATCATGTCACTTTTTAAGAAGTTAAGTTTTTACACTTTTAAAGTTATCATTATTGTCATTGATATGCAATTTTATCAATAAAATAATTGATGTATCCTTATATTTATATATAAACTAAATTTGACTACAACTTTATGATGTTCAAATTATAAAAGAGTGATATACCATGTCAACTTTTTAAAAGAGTTAAGGTAAATCACTGCTAAAAACTATCATGTAACTTTTTCAAAGATTTAAACTAATATTATTGTGGTGTGATTAACTCTCCACCATATAAAAAGAGAAAATAAAGACTACTAAATGAAAAGTGACAGGAAATTTAAAAAAGGTGACAAAAACTCATAAACATGAGAAAAACTTTAAAAAAAAAAAAAAAGAAGGATAAAATCTCTAAAGAAAAACCACAAAATCAATTTCTGCACAATTAATAAAAAAAATTATAGTTCTAATCATTCTAAGAGTATTAAATTAATGTTTTACTTTTTAAAGGTAATGTACCTAATTTTTCCAATAAATACTTTAGTAAGCCTCAGTACTTAAGCTTATACTAATTAATCGATAATACGGTACATTAATTTATTGGTGAATAAATTTATATTGAACCTCTATACTTGAACAAGTTACACTAGAAATAAAAACATTTTTTTTTTATGATAAGTATACAATGTAAAAATTTAATTGCTCAATTTGAATAATAAATAAATCAAGTTTGCTCGAAATCTTTTTGAAAAATTAATGCAGTGCTATATTAATCTAAAAAATGTTTATGGTTTTCAATAGACAATAATGACAGTTTGATTTATTTTAGTTATTGGCTTAGCTTGGTTCCATTAATTGTTATTTAATTCAATAATTGTTTCACACTAACTGTTACCAATTCGCTTCAATTCATATTAAAAATGGTAGCTCACAGAACTGTTCTACGTGATGTGACCGTTGAATGGGAAACCACCATCTCATCGGGTGTGGTGGCTCCCCATTCGAACGGTCGTACTATCAAGACCGTCCCATCAAAATTTTTCTCATTTCTAAGGGGTTCTTCATTAACTATAGGGAAAATTGTAGTTAAGGTCCCAAACCTTTGAAGCATTAGCAAACTTTTCCCAAACCTTTCATTTGTGACAATTGTCACCCTAACCTTTCCAAACGTTGCAGATGAGGCCCCTTTGGACGATTTCCATCAAAAAATTCTGTTAGTTGACCGAAAATTTGGACTTTGACAATCTTTAATCAATTATAAAGGGACAATATGGTAACTTTCTATTTACCACATTCAAAAATTTAAAAAACCCAAATAAAAACACCCAAAAAAATGGAAAAGAAAAGAAAAATGGATCTTCTTCCCCACCCCCACCCTAAACCAGCAGTAATAAATTCACCACTGTTGACATTTCTGAATAAGAACTAGAAGAAAAATGAAGGGGCGACCATTGGTTTTGAAATTGGAATGTCCGAAGGAAGTGTTCCGTGTCCCTGTTGTATTTGTAATCATAAATTGGTTTATAGAAGCAGCAGTCAAACTTTGTTTTATAAGCCTACAATGCTCTCAATGGTGGCCATAGCAACCGTATGTGTGTAGCGCTTCTTTTCAAAAGCTTGCTTGAAGTTCTATACGTGTTTCATCCGTTCAGGTGGGAGACGTTGGAATATGGTTCCAACTGAGAACAACATGAAAATAAGTGACATTCCTTCTTCATTTTGCAATTGATCTTTAGGGTTTGTTGGGTTTTAGGATTGTTCTAAATTTCCAAATTTCAGATTTGAGATTCTATTTTTGTGGGGGTGTGGGGGGGGGGGGGGGGGGGGGGGGGGAGAGAGAGAGAGAGAGACCGATATTGTTAGGGGTTGGGGGTGGGGTGAAGGAGAAGAATATTTTTTCCTTTTTATTTTGTTTTCTTCTTTTTTTATTTTTTATTTTGTTGTTGTTTTTTATTTATGTTTTCTAAAGTGGTAAATAGAAAGTTACCATATTGTCCCTTTATAATTGATTAAAGATGGTAAAAGCCCAAATTTTTTATCAACTAACGGAATTTTTGACTGAAATCGTCCAAAGGAGCCTCATCTGCAACGTTTGGAAAGGTTAGGAGTAATGCTACCACAACTGAAAGGTTTGAGAAAAGTCTGCTAATGTTTCAAAGGTTTGGAGCATCAACTGCAATTTTCCCTTAACTATATATCTTTTTTAGATAGTCAATTATATATGAATTTGATTTTCCACCTTAAGGAAACCAAACCCACTATTTATGTAATACTATTAATAATTTCATTTCGTATTTCACAATTTTTATACATTTATTTGAGGGATACCAATTAAAAGAAGAGAGAAGACGTGGATCAATAATTCCTTTAGGAAAAAAAGACAGAAAAACAACCAAAACGAGGAAAACTATAAATAGTGCAGTTGGATTTGTCTTAAACATTTTATTCTCATTTTTGAAAATTCCTCAAAATGCTCTTTAAATTAAAAATTATGCTCTTAGGAATCAATTTTTTTTTACCAATACTTTAAAATGTCACTAAATTTGTAGTCAATGTTATCCAAGTCTTTGCTTAACTATTTTCCCCCCTCATCGAATTTGAAGTTGATTGCATGAATCTTTTCATAACATTATATTTAATTTGTTGTAGGTCACGCGAATCATTTTCACCACTTTTTTCTATTAATTGCTAGATTGTTCAAAAATTGAAATAGCTAGATATTTAACAATTACAAATCATTTTAATCTTTTGACTTGTTTTTCGTTACTCTTAAGATGGAAGGTCCCATAAAATGTCTTGACCACATAAATCGTCATTTCCTTAATTTATTCGTAACTAATATCACATGTGCACTTGTTGGCTCATATCTCATTTCTTATATTTAACATCTTCCCGTCTTTATGTTATAAATTCAATTAACAAGAAACAACTTATCAAAATAATTCTATTAGGGGCTTTCAGTATTATCAAGAATTTTATATGTTATTTTTTCTAAATAAAATCATCTAAAAATTAGATTATCTAAAAAGGAGTGAATATATATCGTGGTGGCTCGGCTCGGCCTCGGCCTCGTTCAATCACGAGCCGAGCCCACGAGCTCAAGATTTAAAAAAAAAAAAAATTTAAAAAAATTATCAAAATTTATCTAAAGAAAATAGGGGCAATATTGGAAAAAAGTTTAAAATTATGGTGTGAGAGAAAAATAGTAATTGTTGCCATATAAAGGCTCCAGGAATAATTATGTTTTGGTTCTTGGCGCACCTAATTGACATGGTAATGAGGTTTTATCATTTATGGCTCATTGATGCAGGTTCACATTTGGGCATAAAGAGAAAATGAAATATCAAAAAATAATATATTTTATGAGTATACAAGGAAGTGTAATTTAAGTCAATTTACTAATGATCATTAAATTTTTTTTAAAAAATCGTGATTGCAATATATTTTTTTCAGAAATTTTGGTTACAACATGCTGCCAATAAATCTAGTATTGGCATGTGAAATACATTAGACTAAACACAATTAAAGAAAGAATATGAACAAAAATTGAAAATACAAAAAAAATCATTTTATTTCCAATTATAATACCTAGTACTATTTTTTTTTCTTAGTAAAGGTGGTAGCCCACTCCACCTAATTAATTGCTCAGTTAAATCATTACGCCTGCCACTAATTTCCAAATTAACATATAATTAATAGTTATTCAAAACAGCGTTAGAAAAAAAATATTGTTAAAAACACGACAGCCGTTGAATAAATTAATAAAAATTTATGAGCTTCAGATCCAGCCGTTGAATAAATTAATAAATATAGCAATTTCATCCCTATAAAATCAGTGAACATGGACCCCAAAACTCCTCAGTGACAGACGCACTCACCCCCAACCCCACCAACCACGGGGGACAGTGGCATGGACCACAAAAGATCCCCACCACCGCCCTCCTCCGCCACCAAAATCACAAGAGCCACCAGATCTGGTGGCAGTGGCTCAATCATACTAGAAAAATACAAACTTGGCTGCGTACTTGGCCGTGGTAGCTTTGCAAAAGTATACCATGCGACTTCATTAGATGACAATTCAGATGTAGCCATCAAGGTCATCGACAAGGCCACCACAGTGGATGCCGCCATGGAGCCACGCATAGTTCGTGAAGTCTCAGCCATGCGCCGCCTCGAACACCACCCCAACATCCTCAAACTCCACGAAGTCATGGCCACCAAAACCAAAATCTACTTAGTCATGGAGCTCGCCCCCGGCGGCGAGCTCTTTGCTAAACTCAGCCGCCAGCGCAGGTTCTCCGAATCCACCGCACGACTCTACTTCCACCAGCTTGTCTCCGCCCTCATATTCTGCCACCAAAACGGCATAGCCCACCGCGACATTAAGCCACAAAATCTACTCCTTGACAACAAAGGGTCCCTGAAAATCACAGATTTTGGACTCTCCGCGCTGCCGGAGCAGAAAAAAGACGGCCTAATATACACAGCCTGCGGCACACCGGCATACACCGCGCCGGAAGTAGTCTATCGCAAAGGATATGATGGATCAAAGGCTGATGCGTGGTCATGTGGAGTTCTTTTGTACGTATTTCTTGTGGGTTGCATTCCTTTTGACGACAGAAATTTAGCAACTATGTACCGGGCAATACACCATCGCGTTTACGAGTTCCCTCCGTGGCTTTCAAAACCCGCAAAGAATGTTATATTCCGCTTGTTGGATCCCAATCCCAAAACCAGGTTGAGTCTGGAAGAGTTAATCAAACTTCCTTGGTTCAACAAGTCATTCTCACAAGAATCTTTGGTTTTACATGAGCATCAACTTTCGGATCAAGAGTTCAAGTACTTGGCTAGAATAAATGCTTTTGAGATAATTTCGATGTCTTCTGGGTTGGATTTATCGGGGCTATTTGAATCAGAAATGAAATGTAAACAGATGAGATTTACTTCAATATCAGAGGTGGAGGAAATTGAGGAAACGGTGGTGAAAATTGGGGCAGGACTGGGGTACAGAATAGAGAGACAGAAAGGCGGGGGAATTGGATTGGTGAAGGGAAGGGTTTTTTTGGTGGTGGAAATTTGGGAGGTGGCGCGTGAGTTATGGTTGGTGGAGGTGAAGGTTGCTGGTGGCGGAGGGGGTGGGGATTTGCAGTGGAAGGAACTGAAATTAGGTCTTAATGATATTGTTCTGTCATGGCACAATGAATCACTTCCTAACAGCGCGAATAAAACAGTAGAAACTGAAGATGTACAAAGTTGAAGGATTCCAATCTCTCTTTATTGAATGACCACAAAATTTTATTTGTTTTATTTTTTAATTACGTTGCTGATCGGAAGGTTAGCTGTTTTGTATCAACGGAATTGTGATTCTTAAATCTACAGTTTAGTTAGCTCTGTAACCCCCCACTCGATCATGTCGTGTTGACAAAGTCTGGTACTTTATATCGAATAATGTATGCATAAAATTGTGGAATTAACTTTTGGGTGTACATCTTTAGTAGCATGTGTGAGTGGAAAACATAATCGTTAGTTTCAAATTTCAATGTCACTTCAAATTGGTACAACTTGTGGTTTGGTTGGACGTAACTAGAAACGTTAGTGCGTCAATTTGTATGTTGCAGGTGTGACTTTTTGCTAGTCTCTCGAGGAGGTCTCGTTCGATACTAGGACCTCCAACTATAGGTTTTTTTCTCTCTAACCGCAGGGATGGAGTTGAATGTGAACTATGGTCTTGGGTTACTTTTAGGTCGGTTGTGCAATCATTTCGAATTCTCATCTAATTTTTGACTTAAAAACGGGGATTAATGACTGAATTTCTGAATTAATTAGTAGATCAATAATACAGAGCTGGCACGGTTTATGTCCACTAGAGCATCTGGATGCCGTATGGATGTAAACGTAAATGATAATAGAAGTGTCTTATTCATGTACATGAATGGGTGATACTCGAATTTCGCTTGAACGGACGTGATAAATATTGGACTTCATAACGAGAAAAATTGAAATATTTTATTAATCAAGAAAAATGCATGTAAACATGTATTTAAAGACTTAAATCAAATCCTAATCACATTGAGATTCTAATTCTGTAAATTTCCAAACAATAAAATAAAAATAAAAATAAAAATGATGAAAGATGAAGATGAAGATGAGAACTAACATAAAACAGAACAAGTTAAAATGGACCCCTAAACAACAATATTTGATCTCGAAAGTTTGACAATGTTGGCTAGAGGTCATAATATCATCCGGAAAATAATGTGCAGAACTAAAATACGCTTTGAAATTATACTCACGGACAAAAATCTAACAAACAAGCTGAAAGTTATGCACATTTTCATAGATCTCCCCTATTTCTTTTTTGGTTTCCTAATTGATTTAGGATTTTTCCTTCTAAGTAATCCGCATCAGTTGATAATCAACTTCGTTGATTTTAGAGTGCATATCAAACAATCACTGAAAAATGAGAAAAACTCTACACAATATTACAATGATAAATGGCCCAATTAAATACAAACCGTCTTAAGGAGCACAATAAAAACAATTAGGAGAAGTAAAAGCCAAATAAAGGAAATAAGAATCAACCAAGGGAATNTACAAACCGTCTTAAGGAGCACAATAAAAACAATTAGGAGAAGTAAAAGCCAAATAAAGGAAATAAGAATCAACCAAGGGAATGAATGGATTGTGTATGAAAAAGCTAAGTAATTGAAATAATTTGTTTGCATATTTTCATCCATGGCATTGATGGAAATAAATGAGGAAAATCTGAAGTATTTCATCCTCATAAACGTCTGATCTCAGTACATGCTCTATGCTAAAGTTCCTAATAATATATTACATGTGCTTAAATGGTTCAGGACCTAGGATTCAAGGCATGCAAAGCTAATGCACGACTAAAAGCTCGTGTTAGCATGTAACTAGACATCATTGGCACAAACATCAGTGTCGTTGTCCATGCCAATCACAGAACAAAGGGTCGAGTTCCATGCTTGCAGGCCGCTCTGAGCATCCTTCTTCCTCGTGAGTTCAAGTTTACGAAGAGCATCCTTTGGGACTCCACACTTCAAGAGAATAATTCCAAGTGATTTGAATGTCGAGTCATCAGGTTGGACGGCAGATCTCAGCATCTCGTCAAAAGTGGCTGCTGCCTCTTTAAATCTCCCATCCGATGCATACAACCCGAGCACGTGATTATAACTCAACAAGTCTGTCATAAATCCTAGTTCTCTCATCTTACATGCTATCTGAAACGCTTCCACAAACCTTCCGTTCCTCTTGTACATACACAACATCATAGCATAGGTGAACTCATTCGCGTCACCTTTTCTCTTCATATTCTCAAAAATCTGTTCTGCCTGTGAAATCATAGATCGCTCACTATAGAGATCAATCATACAATTTGAGGAATATACATCTAGACCTTCCTCATAGGATTGAAGCATGACATATGCTTCATGTGCTTCTTTCAGATATCCTACTTTTGTGTAAAGCTTGATTAAAGACTTACATATAACAGCATTCATGGGTATATCTAGGTCTCTCATTGTATTTACATAACCAATAGCTTCTTTTACACTCCCAGTATCAGCAAAAGCATTTAGAAGAACACCATAAACAACAACATCTGGTTTTAAGCCAATCTCAATCATCTCCTTGTATAGTCCCTCTGCAACGTCCATATTACCTAATTTTGCGTAGCTTGAGATCACAGCACTATACGGAATGCAATCAGTCACCAATCCAGCCGCCTGCATTTTCCTGACATAAAATTTTGCCTTTTCTGGCAAGTCTGCACCAGCTAGCATTTGCACAAGTGAATTATAGCTGCATTTATCAGGAACTATACTATGTTTCTCCATTCTATCAAAGATGCAGCATGCCTGGTCAAATCTCTTGCTGATGCCATAAGCTTTGATCATCACATTGAAAACAAGGACAGACATCTTTTTTGCTTCTAAGCAACAACTGAAAACTTTTTCGGCTTCCAAAATATGCCCTCTTTCCCCAAAAGCATCAATGTTGGCAGAGTAGCACTCGGAAGTCATATTTCCTGCAAGATGAAATCTCTCGAACCATGACCATGAGCTTTCCAACATCCCAGCTTCTATATACATTCTAGTCAAAGACGATTGGGTAAATTCATCAATCTCCAACCCTCTTTCATCCATCTCTGAAATCAGCTCTTCTGCTTCACCAACCATATGCCTTATCGAGAATGCATACAAGAGGGTACGGTAACTGACAGCATCAGGTTCAAGAGAAGCATCCTTCATCTTCTTCAAATACTTTGCTGACATTTCTATATTATTATACTTCGCGTGTAGGGAAATGAGAATATTGTAAGTTCGAGTATCAGGGGAGCACTTGAATTTTTCCATTTTTTTCATCAACGAATCAACTTCATCAAGCTGGCAATTGTTGCCATACATGTGTATCATGGTATTAAAAGTCACCGTGGTTGGCAAAATTCCCCTTTTGAGCATTTCTTCAAAAGTTCGACAAGCTTCTTTCACTTGCCCAGCTTTCCCATATGTGTCAATCAAGGTGTTGTAAGTATAGGCGCTCAATCGAACATTTGCCCCAGAATCAC